AGGTCTCCCACACCCACCTCCCTACCAATTTGGATCGCTTGTTGTTTCCCTGTCCCTGGGTTTGTTAACACCTCTTCCCTTCCCCCCACCTCCCCCTATCCCATGTTCCCCCGGAACTGTCAGCCCCGTTGTTTTCTCCTCCAGATTGTTCATCGAATCTTATTCTTTTACATGCATTTTGGCCCAGCAATTTCATTTTAGGTCATATATGTTGAAAATAAAATCTGAAACATGGCCAAAGCTTCCCATAACACTTATAATAGTGGAGAAAAAGGAAATATCCTATATTATCAGCAGTAGGGATATATACATATAATGGAACTTTTGTAACTATTAAAATAATACAAATCAAACATTTTATTTACATAGCCTATTTATAAACTATAATGTTAAGTCGGAAAAAAAGGAAATTTCTACTTAGACTATGATTTCAAGTATGTATTCTAAAATGCATGATCGAAATCCAGTCGCCAATACCTGTTGCCATCAAGTTGATTGTGACTCATGGTAACCCCATGTGTACTGAGAATTAATTACTGAAATGTCAACAGTTTTCTCTGGGTAGTTGTATTTGGGGTGCTTTTTTTCTTATTTTTTCATATTTGTGGCATTTTCCTAATTTTTGCAATATAATATTACTGTTAAACGACTCCTTAAAAGTAACTGTAGGTTGACTCCATTCAAAGAAAGTCTAAATGACCTCCAGCTCCCATCTGATGATAGATGTTGGATGAAAGGTGGCTCAGGTGAGGGCTGGCCAGAACAAAAGACCACCTCATGATATCAACTGGGCAGTAGGCCCAAGAAGTTTGGAAACCTATAGCCTAACATACCACATCCATTCTTAAGGATTTTAATAAAAATATTAATGGTGAAAATGGAGACTTGGGTTCCCCCTTAAAAAAACACTTTTACACCAAGGTTTACAAAGCAGATTTTAAGTGAGCATGGAGGTAAAGAGGCTAGATTCACAGAAAGGGTTTTCTCTTTTATAGAGTTTAAGCAAAACAGAGGAGCCCTCCCAAGTGGGAGCCTGGGTGATGTAGTGGTTACATGTTGGGCTATTAATGGAAAGGTTAGTAGTTCAAACTCATCAGTTAGCTGCTCTGTGGTCCCTATCGACTTGATAGCTTGGGTTTTGAGAAGCAAAGCTTATTTAGGGTATAGTAAGGAAGAAAGAAGAAAGGAAGGAAGGAAAGGCAAAGGAAAGAAAGAAAATAAAACCTTTAGGTTTAGAACATGTCAGGACAATTCCTACTTGCGCTTTAATGCTATGTAAATTTCCCCCTATTTGCAGCAAATTCTTCATAATCACCCTCACTTGCTGAATGTATAGCACTGAAAGCAGTGAAAAGGCTTTGAGTCTTTTCTTGTATTAAATAAGAACGGTATGTACCTGTTCCTATTTTTACATGCAAATGAGATCTTAAGGCATACTTTGGAATAGATTTCGTCTGTAGCCCTGGAGCTGCCAATATTTAAATTCCAGCTGACAGGTTCAAGCATTACATGGCCAAGATCATGAGTTGATGACCACGACTGCTGAAACGGTAGCTCTGCCTGGCCAGTGCGAGGACAGACTATGATAAGTTGGTCTACACCCACTTTAGAATGGTGATAGGAGTTTCATAGAATTGGTAATTTTCTACTGGTTATTTATTTACTACTTTTTGTCGGGTAATATTTTCATTTAGAATAAAATTCTCATTTTATAGTTTAAGCCTGAAAACATGAGAATTAATTGTATTGAAATTTTGTTTACCTTTCAAGGATAGTATATTCTATGAGATACACTTTTTCCATAATTCTAAATGAAGCCACTTGGCCAAACAGCTATTTGACATTACAATATACTTTGAAAATGTTCGATTTAAGCACCAGTGCTAAGAACATGTGTTTTCTTCTGACAGGACTAGTGGAACTTGAGTCATGTCTTCCAGACTTTGTGACACAACCCCGAATCAGACCTCTAAAACCGAAAGTTATTACCACCAAAGCTGGTTTCCTAAAGAGGGAAGCAAGGCTGGAACATGAGTTGGTGGAGGTTCATAAGGTATCACAGTTATCTTGAAGAGACAATGCTTCTTGGTGTAACATTTGCAGAGAAATACAAAACTCTAGAGATTACACGGTGTCTTGGGCAGTGATGTCCAGTGATTCTCAACAGGTAGTCCCACATGCAGCCTACAGTTTGTTCTTCGGGAAGTTGCCTGTGTTGTGTTGAACCAGTACAACTTTTCCATTTCAAGCTGCTAGTGTACCTCTTGAAGATTCTTTTCCCCGTTTACAGAAGTCAGGTTAGTTTCTGAAAGTGGTTCCAATAGGTGGCAGGGAGGCCATTCCCACTTTCCGTCCAGCAGAATAAAACACTGCCTCATCCCACACCATCCTCCCAGTTGTTAAGCTTCAGCCCATTGTTGCAGCCATTGTGTCCACAACTCGTCCAGGGTTTTCCTTTTGGCCCTACGTAATAAAATTCAGGACTACACGGAGGTGTAACTAGGAATTATGGTTGGTTTTTTAAAATACTTGATATCGGAGTATCAAGAAGAAATAGAGTCTCAACTTCTCCCTCATCCAAAACTCAACTAATAACAAAAAAAGTCTGATGACAATATTCTTTTGTGTTTGTTGGACCACAGGTATACAGACTCGAAGACTTATCTTTTGGTTTCTGATATTGGTTCTCAATATTTAGCATATATCAGATTCATTTAGACCACTTTTAAAAACACATATTACTATTTGGGCCCATCCCCCCAATTTTGGTTCAGCAGATCCTGAGTAGGTCTCAATGATTTGCACTTGTAGTAAGTTTCCAGTTGGTATTGATGGTACTGGATCATGGAACACATTTTGAGACCCATGGATTTATGACATACTCTCATCATTTGTCCATGAATGTTTTGTTGTTGTTGTTCACTTCTAGGAATATAATAAGAATTCATGGGTGCCTATAATCAACATGAAAATTAGGATTTGACAATAATTTATACATATATATATATATATATATATA